GCAGCCGCAGCCGCAGCCCGCCGCGCAGGACCGCAGCCGGGGCGGGCCGGCTGCGCCGCGGCGACGCTCTTGGGCCGCGACATCAGCCGTCCCTGCTTGCTGTCGCGCAGAGCGATGGTGACTGCGCTCCGACTGCGCAGCTGCCTTTCATCCTAGCCGTTTGCCTGGTCCAAAAGGCGCTTGGAACCCCCCAGGGTCCGCGATAAGCGACAGGCGCAGCAGCACCAGCAGGACGGGTGGCGTGCAAAGCACGCGCGCCAGCCGCGCCGCCGCCATGCGCACCCGTCTCATTGATCTCGACGACGCAGCCGTTGGTGCATTTCTCTAGCAGGCGCAGCAGCGAAGCCTCGTAATCTCGCAGCCCCGGGCTGCTGTCGCGCGTGCGGATGTCATCAATACGAATCGGCCGCCCAGACAGCGTCGCGAACACCAGCCGCTGCCGAAACTGCTGACTGCCCTTGAAGCGCAGCATGGCGACGCTGGGAATTCACTATGGCGGTGGCGGGGGCCGCTGCCGGCCGCCAAAGACGGCGGCCGCCGCACGGCACTGCGGTGTGCTGCTGCTGCTGCCGCTGCTGCTTCTGCTGCTGTGCTCGTCTGGGGCTGGCTGCTCAACAGCTGGCAAGACACAACATATAATTTGAACTTTTCAACGTCATGAACGCATAAGCGGAGCTCGTCGGCCACAGGAGTGCGCAGTGCCGCGAAGGTGAGTGATCCTCTCGGTTGGGGCAAAGTGTGAGTGTTCTCGAGGCTCTTGTCTGGCGTACCTATGAAAAAAGGACTGGCAAGAAGACATGAGTTTGATTTCGAACCTGACACCTAGCGAACGCTCCAAAAGCAGTCACAAGGCCGCTGGACGGCCAGCTCACACGAAGCTGCTTTGCTTTGACAGGCACGGTGCCCTTTGACCCAACGCACATTTATCAAAAAGTCGCACAAGTTCATTGTTGTCGCTGGCAAGCATCCTACTCAGTCAGACCCGCTCTACTGTCTCCATCATCAGACCTGCCTGCAGCATTCGCTGTTGGTGTAAGCGACCCCTTTGCGCCTGATTGCAGGTCATACGCCCTAACAGGTGAATATTGTACTATTTCGATTGCTTTGGAGGCCTAGGGCTTGCGCACGCGAGGGGCTGCTTCTTCCTTGCCGTTTGCACACTTCGAGGAAACGGGGCGCGACCGGGACACCGCGCGTCGGTGCTCCTCGCAAGCTTCCTCCGTGTGCGCTAGAGAGCATGCTGAGAGTCAGCTTTGGGGTGATCTCTGGTGCTGACTTTCCGGCCGCATCGTCCTTGGCATCATGCTTCTGGAATCCCAGCGCCCTGTGCGCAGGGCACCCATGCATGCGAGCCCTTTCGCCTTTGCATGCATCAGTTGTATCCTTGCACGGCACGGCACGCATTCCTCCCACAACCAACACTGCCCGCATGGGCAAACCCCCACGGCGACGCCACCAACGTCGCAGGAGTCGGCCAGCACAACAACAGCAGCCGGCACCGACCGCTTAGCGCGCGCAGTCAAACATACAAGGTTTTGGGTCTAGAAAGCAGGCACATATGTTGAGCACAACGCCGGCCAGTGCGGTCGCCCGGTCCGCTAGCCAGTCCGCTAGCAGGCCCGCGCGCTCTGCGGCCCCTGCGGGCCGACGGGCGCGGGCGGCTCCACCCCGCGACGTCGGCGCGAGTGTTTTTGGTGCGTGGCGGTCGCCCCCTGTGATAGAAAGCATTGACTTCCGGCGCCTGCTGGAGGCGGCGCCACTTGCCGGCAGCGTGCTGTTGCCACGGCCGCAATCGCCTGCGCAGCACGAGCAGCAGCACCAAAAGCAGCGGCAGCAGCACGAGCGGGAGCAGCTCACGCAGCAGCATGAGCAGCGGTTGTTGCAGCAGCTGGAGCAGCTGCAGCATCAACAAGCGGCGGATGCGGCGGCGGCGGTGGCCGCTCCAAAGCCCCTGCGGTTGTCGTGGGCTGGCAGTGGCGTGTACTTCTGGTGAGGCGACTTGCTAGCTTCGGATGCGGGGATTTGCTTGCTGTCTTGGGACCGGCTGCATGTGTCTGAACGTTGACGCATGCTCTGCAGGTGCTGAGGGCCGATTCTTGCACGGCGGCTACACGTGCATGCATGCCCCTTGAGCAGGCCCTGCATGCTAGCGCTTGCACAAACGCACGAATCGCGGAGCCATGCCGCCCACGATTATGCGCGCGCATGCCGCATGCACGCACCCCAGGTGGCAGCTCGGCGCCATGCAGCACCTGGCGCAGCGCTATGACCTCACGCGCGTCCCCATGGTCGGTGCCAGCGGCGGCGCGCTCTGCGCCGTCCTCGCGCGCTGCGGCGTGGACCCGCAGCTGATTTCTGAGTCGGCCTACAAGCTGGCGGTGGAGCACAAGATCTGGGACAAGCCCATGGGGCTGGCCGGCAGCTGGGGGGGCATTATCGAGCAGTGGCTGCACGACATGCTGCCCGCGGACGCGGCGGAGCGCTGCAGGGGGGAGCTGGGCGTCGTCGTGACGGAGGTGCCGGCGTGGCGCCAGCTGGCGATCACAGACTTCCGGGACAAGGTGAGGGCAGGCGCGCGGTGCGGGACGGCGCGGCAAGCGGTTGCCTGTATGGTCGGCGCGTCGAGCTGAGGGGCGCCATCTTGTGATGAGGAAGATGTCGTAGCACGTTGCCGTCTGCCGCGGCGGCAGCAGGGGTCGCCAGCAGGAAGTGGCCGCTCGCCCCCAAAAGCACAAATGGACTGCAAATAAAGTCGAGTGCTTGCCGTAACAGTGCAACCTGTGTACCCCTCTCAAGCGCCCCGCCACCCCCGGCACTGCGCCTCGTCTTCCCGCTCGCCAGGAGGACCTGATCAACTGCGTCATGGCCAGCGCCCACGTGCCGATGCTGCTGGACAAGCAGCTGACGCGCGGCTGCCGCGGCGCGCAGTACGTGGACGGCTCCTTCCCGGACTTCTTCACCGGGGAGAACTGCGACCACCTGCAGGTGTGGGGGGGGGAGGGGGGGCTGAGCACCGCACCCGCAGCGCGCGAGTCGTAGCTGTGGAGACTGCATGAACGGTGGCCGTGGCTAGCTGAGTATGATGCTCATGCCACATTGTCGCCACGCCACACAAGCACGCGGCAATCTGTACACACACACACACACACACACACACACACACACACACACACACACACATGCGTGTGCGCGCAGTGCGGTGGTGACGCGATTGTGTTCGACTACTTTGAGGACTCCAGGATCATCCGCCAGGGCCGCATGGACATGCTGTCCCTCAAGAGATACAGCGAGCTCAAGCGCATCGTGCTGCTGGGCGCGCGCTACGCCGCGCGGCTGGAGGCGGAGGGGGCGTTCGACCGGTTCCACCTGGAGCCCGTGCGCAAGGCAGGCCTCAAGTGCCGGTGACGTGCCGACGCGGCGCGCCGTGGCGGCGAGAACGCATGCGGACCCGGCGCGCTTGCCCTTGACCTGCGCGGGGCGTGCGGAGCTTGGGACGGTGGCGGCGTATCGAAGGGCATCTGGCAATGGCTGTTGCCAAGCATTGGCGGTACGGCTGCCTCCGGGGCAAGGCCTCACGCCCTGCTGGCGACGCGGGCCCATGCCTCATGCTAACCACGGTCTGCTGCCCCGCAAACGAGCGGCGACGCACGCCATTGCGTGCGTGGCGCTCCCAAGCATCCCCTTAGATCCAAGGTTGGGCCCGAGTTGGCCCCGTTGTCAACGCTTGTCACCCCATCACCACTCAGTCGCCGCACGTCTACGTACCGCATAGACCTGTGTGCATTTCACGTGCATCTGTCCACACATGTGCGCGCATGCGCACGCATCCAACTTCGCAACTGCACGACTGTGTTTGCTGCTGTCAACTGATTGCCAAGCTGAACGTCTGCGCCAGGCGACTGGAAGCTGCCCCGCCCCGCCTGGAAAGGCGGCCCGCGTGCCTTCCTATTCCCTCGCACTTGGCGACGTGCAGTGGTGACGTGCAGCGGTGCAGGCGGCACCGAGGCCCTCTCAAGGCCGATGTCGGTTGCAAAGGCGCTTTGCCTGCTGGACCAAGCCAGAGGCCTGTGCGTGGGTCGTGCTCGTTCGCCACACCCGTTTGCGTTAAGAGATGCCGCGGCCGCCGCTGCAGCTCTTGGTATGTGCGCTGCTGGTTCGCGGGACCGTCTGCTTGTTATCAACCCCTGTCGACTTGTTTCGCTAATCGACGCGCCTCTGCGCGTCTCGCCGGCTGCCGGCTGTACTCAAGGCGGCCATGACGTGCCGCAGGGGCCCTTGGCCTCCCCACCCTTTAGAGCTTCCAACCCCTGCCACACCGATCGCGCCGCGCTGCCGCACGCCTGATAGCTCGTAGCACACGCGTTGACTGATCCTGGCAGCAGCTTTGCTGCCCGTGACAAGGAGCATTTAGGCAGGACAATGCCCGCAGGAGTGGCTTCATAATTGATGTAACTCTCGGTTGACGTCCCAACATCTTGTGCATTGTGTCTGGTTGGTCTCCTTGGAAACGCCAACTTCTTCAGCTTTTCAACATCATACATGGAGCATGGCCTGGCGTGTTGGCTAGCATGCAACATGAGGCAGGAGGGGGTACAGCGGAGTCAGGCTGGCGTGGCAATGGTGGCGTCACGTGAGGTTCCCACCCAGCAGCCACAGCAAACACGACCACTGCGCGGTGTGAGGCTGTTGTCGAAGTGTCTCCACTCCCCGGGCCCGCCTGGCCCCACCCTGCAGCAACAGATTCAGCCCTTGAGACGGCGTCGGCCGCACCACACTGTCGCACAAAGCCTGTGGCAAACGCTCACTCCAATGCCGGGTTCTCTTGCGCGTTGCAACCGCCCAAAGCGGAGTCCTGGCCGGCCCTGCCTTTTGCTTCCATGACTGCTGTTGGGCCACGTACCGCAACAGAAGGTTACACGAGTCATTGTTGCATTAGGATTACAAGAAGTACCAACAGCCGCAACAAGAAAATGCCAGTGCAGTCGGACACTGACTAGCCAGCCTGGGCTTTCAGGGCAGTACATAGCAAGGCCAGGCTGGCCTTGCTACTGCTCATGCAAACAAAATATCGAGCAGCTTCACGGCAGCAGACCGTTGGCAGCACGTCCTGGCATTAATTCAAGAGTTGCGCAGCCCATGAATCTGTGTCTGCCCCAGTGCTGAACCCCTGAACACCCATGTTTGGGTGGATGTCCAATAGGCACCGCAGGAAATAAAGTCGCAAATGCCAGAGAAATGAAAATGAACAGCACGTCGTCGCTCCCGGTGCATGTTTGGGGGTGGAGGGGAGGTTGGAGGATCCAGATGAATGGCAGCGAGGCTGCACGTGCTCCATACAGTGACTGAAAACGCAGCAAGTGGGGTGTCTCTGCGGGACAGATGTGTACATGATACCTCAGAAAAAGGGCTCTGTCTCAACAATCAAGTGGGCGCAGGACGGCGGCGGTCCGGCCGGACAGCCATGCGACGAGCTAGGCGGTTATAGGAAATCTTGGGCTGATGGCAAAGTACCTGGGGCGACAAGGGCGGCCCTACCAACAATGCTGCTGGGCACTCACAGGCTGGTCCAGATGTGCGCGCTGGCGCACTACAATGCTTCAACCGCCGCCATACCCCGCCATCACTCCCTCAAGCGAGCAGCACCGCCGCCACAGCTGCCACAGCCGCTGCCAGAACCGCCGCCCGCGGCCTTCCGGCGCTGCTGCCGGCGCCGGTACGGCCGCTGCCTGCGCGTGCAGTGGGATCGCTCTGCGACTGCCCACTTTTCGAGGAGAGTTCAATCAAGCTGAGCGCATCAGACGCGTCTGCAGCGCCTGTGGCACCGGCTTTGGTCGACGCTCCATCCTCCAGCAGGTTACTAATGGATGACACGTCATCAAACCGCCCCATGACAAGGAACGTGGTCACTGGCGCCGGCAGCCGCGACGGCTCGAGTTCTGGGCTGGCACGCCTGCTGGCTGCGAGCTGCTGCTGCTGCGGTTGCGCGCCGGTCGATGTCTTGGATGCGGGGCCTTTGCGCCGCGCAGGTGCGGGCACGGGCACCAGCGCCGCTGTCGTTGCGGCGCGTGCGCCGGCGCTTGGGGCTGACAGGTAGCGCTCAGCCGCCGGCGCGCTGAGGGTGACGGTGCCAGCGGCCGAGCACTCGCCCGAGGTGTTCTTGGCTGAGCACAGCGCGTGCGCTGCCGCTGCAGCACTGCCGGGCCCTGCGATGAGATCAAACCACGCCTGTTCGGTCGCCTGGCAAGAGCCGCTGACGAATCCGCCTGCGTCGCCGGCACCTGTGTCGCCGGCGTGCCACGCACAGGTGCCGTCCGGCGCCGCAGCTGCGCACTCATAGGGAGCCGTGAGGGCCTGGCACCGCTGTCGAAGCGCAGCGTACTGGCGGGCTGCTCCAGGGCAGCCGGCTGGCTGGCCCGCGCATGGCGCGCCGCCGCTGGCTTTGGCCTGCTTTGAGCGGCACGCGGCCTGCCAAGGATGGCGCCAGGGCAGGAGGAGGGGGGGTCAAGAGGTTGCATGCAAGCCAAACAAAACAAAAGCTGCAGGATGGAAGGGTTGCCACTGCCGCGCAAACGCGAGTAGCCCCTCGGCAGCAGGGGACATGGCAGCTGGCAATGAATGCCCGCAATTCCGACCAAAGCGGGCCCCCCCTCCATCGCATGCCCACCTCGCGTGTGTGCCACTTGCAGCGGCCATGTAAAAACTGCGCCCCAGGCTGCGCTCCCTTGGTGGAGCTGCAGTTTGCTTCTGTAGTCTGCAGCTGGCATAGGGCGTCCTGCGCCCATCCTTCAATCATGTCGGCAGCCAAAGGGGTTGCCTTGAAGGGCTGGGGCTTTGTTGAGATGAGATAGCCTGCAGAAGAGTGCAGCGGCATGGGCAGGCCTCTGGTGCACAGGAAGCAGCAGAGCCGGAACTTGAGCAACCGAGCATCGGCGGTCAATCCTGGTGGATTCCATGTCAGGCGCGCTGCTGGCCAGGAAGCCAGATGGGAAGGTTCCGTTGGGCGTTTGGGCAGTCCGGGGGCTGCAAGGACGCAGGGGGCGAGATGCCTGCAGTGAGGCCTGTCGCTTGAATGCAGCGAGTGTGGGCCCCACGACTGCTGAAGCTCACCACTTGTGGGGTGACATGACCCCTCAAGCCACGAGCACTTGCTGATGTCGGCAGCAGCAGTGGCGGCGGCGGCGGCGGCGGTGGCGGCGAGGCAGACCAAAATGCCCGCGGTCGCGAGCCGCATGCCGCATCTGTGGAACTTGAGGCCGGCACGGCAGGGAGCCAGGGCAACAGCGCCGCTTGCCAAAGGCGTGGCAATTGCTCTGAGAGGCTCAATGGTAGATTGAGGCGCACGTGCTGCCAGCTGACACGCAGCGCGCCGTGCCTCAGCGCGCATCTCGCTGGTGTCTGCCGCGGATGTGCGCTGCTTCTAAGCCCTTGGTGAGTGGGCGACCTCTTAGATGCGATTTATAGTTCGTATTTGTGCTGATTCAAGGCCTGTGCTGCACCTACGCCGCACGCTAGCCATGGCGCCAGATGAGAGAGTGCCGATCCTAGGGCCTTCTATGCGCAGAACTAGTTGTGACGAGTATTTATGCCATTCTCGCTTCTTTCAGCGCCCCTGCATGCCCCGCGATGGTTGCCAGACGCCAAACAGACGCCAACTACCGCCAAAAGATCCGCGGTGACCGCGCGGGTTACTCAAGGCGCGTTCGGGCGCGAATGATCGAAAAAAATCGTACAAATGCGATTTACGCCGCAGAGTCGCCCGGCCTGCGACCTTGTGCTTGGCCCGGCTGCACATCAGCCTGGAGCTCACGCCCTCCCTGCGCCACCGACAGCCTCAGCACTGGCAGCGGCGGACCCTCGAGAGCACGCTGTTGCTGTTGCTGCTGCTGCTGCTGCTGCTGCTGCTGCCGATGCTGCTGCTGCTTCCCCTGCTTCCCCTCCGGTGGCTGCTTGGGCGCGCGGCGTAGGTGGCGCGACACATAGCGCGTCACCGCCGTCTCCACCCCCTTGGCACCCTCCATGGGAAACGGCCCAACAAACTCCACCTGCACCCGCAGTCAGGCGGAACAGCATGCGATTAGTACATACACAAGACAAGCCGCCCCAGGCTCGCGTGCAGGGCTTGTCAGAATGCGCCCGTCATGTCCCCTGGCTTTCAACCCCAACCCCTGATGACATCAGCAGGTCTGCAGCTTGAGCATGTCCTGGCGCCCACCGCCCCGCCC